CAAGATGGTGTGGCCTTTTGTGTGGTCGCAGTCTCCTTTCGTTGTACAGAAGTTGTTTGACCTTGTTTTCTCCACTTGGTCATATTGGCACGAAGACTTATAGGAACGGACCTTTTCCGGAGTCCATTGTCTGCATGATCATTTCCAAAGTTAAACCGTGGACGTGGTACATTCTTAAACGTTTCGCCGGCATCTTAGTCGGTATTGTCAGTGAGTATCGCCATCCTAACCACCATACAGCAACTCGTCAAAGAGACAAGTCAACCCGATCCTTTGACCAAATAAACACGGTAAAAAATTGCAAAAGTGAATGCATGATAGGATGCTACCGGAAACGCGAATAACCCAGGGCAGAAGGGGAGATACCACATTTTTTTAGTACACGTTTGGTCAAAGGATCGGCTTTACTTGTCTCTTTGACGAGTTGTTGTGTGGTGCTAAGAATGGCGATACTCACTGACGATGCCGACTACGATGCCGGTGAAACGTTTGGGAATGTTCCACGTCCACGGTTCGACTTTGGAAATGATGATGAATACAATGCACTCCGGACAAGCTATGCTCCTCTAAGTCTTCCTGCCAATATGACCGAGTTGCGAAAACAAGGTCAAACAACTTTTAGTTAAGGATTACTGTTGGCTTAGACATAAAGTCATATAGAAAATAATTAATGTCTCCTGTTTTAATGGTGACTGGCCTTTCCTACTTTTCATGCAACTCATGATGTAAACTTTGTCCTCTCATATATTGCCAAATTCATTGGCTTGCTTCATGCAAAGTCCAGTTTAAAGAGCTGGCTTAGGAATTGATTTGTCTTTTTGCCCAGACGTTGATATATATTTTAAAAGAAATTCTGCGGTTAAAGTATAAATATTATATTATTTTTTTTACCTCGGCCAAACTGAATAATGAAATAATCTGAATGTGATATCTTCAGGAGGCCACGTGCCGGAAATAGAAAATATAAAAAGAATAGGTTGAGTTGGCAAATCGAGAAAAAGAGAATTTTTCCGATGATTAGATTGCGGCAAATCACAATTGTCATTTCCTTTTTATTTAATTTTAATGTGAATTGAGTAGTCGCTATGACAAGGTTGCCTCAATGTCGAGGGTTCTGGTCTATTCCGCGTCCAGATGAGTCGTTTCGGCCAATAATCGTCTGGCCGGCAAATCACACCAGTCACCATGCAGCAAGCCGATTGGCTCCAAGCGCGGCCCAATCACATGCTTCCTGGCCGGTGGTCTATTGCCACAGGCCAGATGTGTTTTCCCACACCGAGCCGGTGGCATGGAGATCCACTCGCCCCATTCAGTCGAGACCAACTCGGACTATTGCCGACGATGCAGTACGAGGAGAGATGTGCAATCCGCAGCCATCATTTGGCGCATGGAGACAGACGCGGGTGTGGGTGTGGTGACACGCGGAGCGGATGGTTCACCTTCTGGGCCAGTGTAAGGGTGTGTGTGTTCTGTTGATCCCTTCGGCGGTCGAAGTCATGCCTTGTCTGCCTGTCGGAGAAGCCTGGTTCTTCTCAGAAGCCGGCCTCCTCATAGACGATTGGCCCCGAGGCGGGCCATCCGATGCCGGGCTCTGGCAGCACTCGCCGCCCGAACAGCATCCCAGCCTCACGACGGCCGTCTACTTCAGCTTGCCCCTTTTGCCGGCAGCAACGCTCCTCTTGGCTTTGGTCAATCTGGCGACGGGAGCCAAGGCGATCGTCTGTCCCCCCGGGCGCCCCCGGCCCCAGTTCGGCCGACTAGCGCATCAGTTGATCGCTTTCTACCTCGTCTCCGGCACTTCGGCCGGCCTGGCCTGGTTCACGGCCCTGCCGCGCTACATTCCGCTGGCCGGAAGACGAGCCCTGACAACCGTTGTCATGCCGTCGATTGACACTGTCGGTGGGGTGAATTCGTCGAGTCGACAGCTGATCGGCCAGTTGCCAGCTCTGCTCACGATGCAGTCGATCCTGCGTCTGACGAGTGTGTGGTTGGTGATCAATCTGTTGGTGGAGCGCTGCTCCCTTCTGGCCAAAACGGCCCGGCAACCGCGAGTGCTCCTCTGCCCGGCCGGGCCAGACAGGCCCGAGTGCCGAGCCCAGTCTCGAGCCGGGTCGCACCCGGCGCCGGCCGAACCGGCCTCGGCCGTCCGAGACGAGGCCGGGCCCGAGGCCGTCTGCCCGACGGCAGACGCGACGAGCCGGCCAGCCGGTTCGTCCCGCCTCGGCCGACTGGTACGTCGAGGACGTCTTCGCTGCCGACGCATCTGCCGACGCCTGGCCGTCTGGTGCGCGGCCAAGTGCTGCTGCATCGACGACCTCGAGTTGGCCTGTTGCTACTCGTGCCGTCGGCGCTATTCGCGCTGGTCCCGACGCCACGGTCTCCAGGCGCTGCGCAGATCGTGTCACCGGCGCCGGCAAACGGTACAGCCGAACTCGGCTCGAGTCCCGCCCAAGGCGCAGCCTCAGGACGGCCTGCCGGGCCTGCTCTGTGCCACCCTTTGCACCAGCGCCCTGTTCGCATTGGCCGCGTTGGCAACCTGTTTGCCGCAGCTATGGGCCTATCGTCTGGACCACTTGGAACCGCCGCCGTTGCCACCGCCGCCGGGGCCGGCAGCAACGACAGCGTCGGCCGAAGACGCGATGACGGGCCGCTTGGCGGTCGCCTGGCGACTCGAACATCGCGTCTTTCCGGCGCCGGTCTACGAGTACTATCTGGCCAGTGTGTCTCTGTTGCTGCCCGTCTGTCTGCAGCTCGGCCTGCTCGGTCTGTTGGCGGCCAGAATCGGCCGTCTCGATTCTCGTGTGCGTCGCGCCTTGGCGGCCAACCTGCACGACACGTTGGAAACGAAGTTGCCCCAGCGACAGATGAGCAACCGGCATCGGTGGCTGGACGTTCGTCTCGGCTGGCTGCAACGCGACAACATGGTGAGTCTGGGCTTGGGCGTCTGTCATCTGGTCACTTGGGCGCCGCACGCCATCGCCAACACGTGTCTTCGTCTCTCCTGCCTCCTGGTCTCCGGCAACCGGCCGGCCGGTCGACTGGACACCGGTTGCCTGGGCAACCCGGGTGTCTGGCCGGCGAGCGGTGTTTGGGTTGTGTGTGAATTGGTGCTGATGGTTGGCGAACTGGCCTGTCAGGTGTTGATCTTGATCGCCAAATCCTGGGAGGCCGGTTGCCACCGCCACTGGCACCAGCCAGAAGTGCCCAGTATCTCGGGTTTCCTTGACGACTGTAAGAGGCAGGACAGGAAGGAGGCCCGATGGGAATCAGACTGCACACATGCAGCGAATGCGGGCGAGAGGGGCGAACGATTGTCGGCGCGAGAAGACGACTCCGAGGCGGATTATGAAGATGAGCAAGAGAGGCGGGATGACGAAGAGTTCACTGGCTCGTCTACCGACTGCTGCCGTGCGCCGCATTGCATCGCTGAAATGGCTCTTCTTCCCGACCTCGAATTGCGTCTACACCATGCACCAACGCACCGTGTTGACTGTCATTTCGACCAGACCCCAACCGTTACAGTCGCCTCTTCGGGTCAACTTGTTGACCAATCGGGCAAATGTGGAATCGGCCAGAAATCACGTGAAGCCGTCTGGCAACTGCACACCTCAACGACTTGTCCACCAACACCCGTCGTCATGACAACGCTAAGCCAGGCTGGCACCAGCCCGATCGACCGGGTCTACTTTAGCCCCGACCTGACGGAGCCCGGCTCGCTGGCGTCGACACCGTCGGGCCGAATTATGCAGACTCAGCCGAGCCCCGATGACTTCATTGGCCGTCTTCACGTGGCCTCCGATTGCCGATACTACTCCCACCAACACCAGCCGCATCCAAGTCAGTCACACCAACAACAGTACATACCCATCTGCCCTGCCGTCGAGGTGAACCAATCAACTCCACTTCTGGGCCAGTCGTCACAGCACCAATCGTCGATCTATTATCCGCGCTTGAATTGCCCCAGAAACGACGTCAACCGCCTCGCGACTGCTTTTCCTGTTGCCCACTCCGTGGGCTTCCCAGCCCAGACCGTCGCTCCTACAGCCTTGCGTCATCCCCACCCTCCTTCAGGCCATCTGACGGCGACACGAGCCACAGAAGCGGCGGAAACCGCAGAAACCGCCATTCCCAACACCGTTGCCATGGCGAGTGTCTCTTCTACACCGTTGAGTCAGTATCGTCACACAAACAGACATCCGGCCGACTCTCCGACTGGCCCGACTCTCGCGTCACCGCTCGCCTCACGCAGCCTTGCCTCACCGCCCCCCCTGCCGCCACTTCTGCCGACACCCCCTCCCGTACCAACGTCCGGAGGTGTCTATTACGCCGCCGTCTCCGGCCCTCCTCACGACAACTCCGAGCAGACTGTCGGCCACTCGATGGACCAATCGGAATTGGCGACGCATTCACGAGTCCACCCAACCGGGTGTGTCTATGTCTCGGGCAGCCTTGGTTTCTCGCCGAACGTCAGTCCATTTCCGGTGCATCGCGGTCGCCCTAGCGACCACGCACTCCTTCGATGCGCTGTACATCTTCCGGCCGTCGGCGGTGACGCTTCTGTTGCCTCCAGTCTGCACTGGCCGACGGTCAGTCTGGTACCGACGCGTCCGGTTGCCTGGCGCGATGTCGAGGCGTCGGGTAGACGCGAAAGTGGACGCTGCAACGAAGGTGATCCGCCCAACAATCCGACCATGCTGACCGAGTCCCGACTGTCGCGGTTGCCAACCAAGTGTAGGCCACTCGAGCCGATGGAGGCTGTGTTGCTTGCCGGCCCTGACGACCTGGCCAGTACCGGCTGCTTGGACGTCTCGTTGCCGGGCTCTGCCAATGGTTACACGCCGCCCAGTCAGAGTCTTCTGCAGACGGACTCGGGCATCGGTCTACCAGGCGAACACTTTCACCAGCTGACGCTGGCCAGAGAGCCTGCGGAGGGGCTGGGGCTGGGGTTGGGGTTGGGGCTGGGGTTGGGGTTGGGGCTGGGGCC